GGTTATGGCTGAACTCCCACCCCCCCTTATAGTGAGTGGCAGGGTTATGGCTGAACTCTCACCCCCTATTATAGTGAGGGGCAGGGTTATGGCTGATCTCCCATCCCTCTTATAGTGAGGGGCGGGGTTATGGCTCAACTCCCACCCCCTCTTATAGTGAGAAGCATGGTTATGGCTGAACTCCCCCCCCCTCTTATAGTGAGGGGCAGGGTTATGGCTGAACTCCCCCCCCCTCTTATAGTGAGGGGCAGGGTTATGGCTGAACTCCCCCCCCCTCTTATAGTGAGGGGCAGGGTTATGGCTGAACTCCCCCCCCCTCTTATAGTGAGGGGCAGGGTTATGGCTGAACTCCCCCCCCCTCTTATAGTGAGGGGCAGGGTTATGGCTGAACTCCCCCCCCCTCTTATAGTGAGGGGCAGGGTTATGGCTGAACTCCCCCCCCCTCTTATAGTGAGGGGCAGGGTTATGGCTGAACTCCCCCCCCCTCTTATAGTGAGGGGCAGGGTTATGGCTGAACTCCCCCCCCCTCTTATAGTGAGGGGCAGGGTTATGGCTGAACTCCCCCCCCCTCTTATAGTGAGGGGCAGGGTTATGGCTGAACTCCCCCCCCCTCTTATAGTGAGGGGCAGGGTTATGGCTGAACTCCCCCCCCCTCTTATAGTGAGGGGCAGGGTTATGGCTGAACTCCCCCCCCCTCTTATAGTGAGGGGCAGGGTTATGGCTGAACTCCCCCCCCCTCTTATAGTGAGGGGCAGGGTTATGGCTGAACTCCCCCCCCCTCTTATAGTGAGGGGCAGGGTTATGGCTGAACTCCCCCCCCCTCTTATAGTGAGGGGCAGGGTTATGGCTGAACTCCCCCCCCCTCTTATAGTGAGGGGCAGGGTTATGGCTGAACTCCCCCCCCCTCTTATAGTGAGGGGCAGGGTTATGGCTGAACTCCCCCCCCCTCTTATAGTGAGGGGCAGGGTTATGGCTGAACTCCCCCCCCCTCTTATAGTGAGGGGCAGGGTTATGGCTGAACTCCCCCCCCCTCTTATAGTGAGGGGCAGGGTTATGGCTGAACTCCCCCCCCCTCTTATAGTGAGGGGCAGGGTTATGGCTGAACTCCCCCCCCCTCTTATAGTGAGGGGCAGGGTTATGGCTGAACTCCCCCCCCCTCTTATAGTGAGGGGCAGGGTTATGGCTGAACTCCCCCCCCCTCTTATAGTGAGGGGCAGGGTTATGGCTGAACTCCCCCCCCCTCTTATAGTGAGGGGCAGGGTTATGGCTGAACTCCCCCCCCCTCTTATAGTGAGGGGCAGGGTTATGGCTGAACTCCCACCCCCTCTTATAGTGAGAAGCATGGTTATGGCTGAACTCCCACCCCCTCTTATAGCTGATCTCCCACCACCTTAACAGCGGTATAGCTTGTGATGCCACTAAGGGGTGTCACCATTCTGTTTCAGAACGGTCAAATTAATGTCCGGCATCAAGGGCAGAAAACAACTCAGGTCAATGTGTGCTGAAATCACAGCGAAAAGCATCCAATATTAGGTGGTGTGAGTTTGTTGTTGGTCCTAGACGTGTCCTCTGCCCCTCTCCTAGACGTGTCCTCTGCCCCGTCACCCCTCAGTATCTCCACTACATTCTATGTCTGTGACACACACACAGCTGCCCCTCTCTGACACTAAAGACCTCCTCCTTGTACTGCTCTGACAGTAAAGACCTCCTTGTTACACTACTCTGGCACTACAAACTTTCTTCTTATACTGCTCTTACAGTAAAGACCTTCTCCCTCTACTCGTCCTAAAGTAAAGGCACCCTCCTTATACCACTCTGACACTAAAGACCATCAAAATGATGATGGGATGGTATACAAAATATGTATATAATATAGTATACAAAATGATGGGATGGTATACAGGGGGTGTGTATATATACTGGTTGGAAGGGATACAAGGGGGTGTATATATACTAGGGGGAATGTATACAGGAGGTGTATATATACTGGGGGGAAGGTATACAGGGGTGCATATATATACTGGGGGAAGGTATGGTGGGGGTGTATATATACTGGAGGTGTTGGGGGCCCCGTAGATGACGCATTGCTCCATAGGTCGGTGCTTCTTGTACTCATGTAGGAAGTACCTCACATATAGATGCTAGGATGGGAGCAGTAGCGGGGTCATCCAGTGGCAGGAGGCTGGGGTCATCCAATGGCAGGAGGCGGGGGTCATCCAATGGCAGGAGGCTAGGGGTCATATAATGGCAGGAGGCTGGGAGTCATATAATGGCAGGAGGCTAGGGGTCATCCAATGACAGGAGGCTGGGGGTCATGCAATGGCAGGAGGCTGGTGGTCATCCAATGGCAGGAGGCTGGGGGTCATCCAATGGCAGGAGGCTGGGGGTCATGCAATGGCAGGAGGCTGGTGGTCATCCAATGGCAGGAGGCTGGTGGTCATCCAATGG